AGTAGAAAGAAAGCTTTAAAGGTGACAGATGCCTAATTAGTAATTGATTAAATGAAAATTCCCAAAGAGAGGATTTTCCTCCAAGGGACTGAAAAATCACAAAAGAAAGGGTAAAGGGTAAAAGGAGAATGGAGATCTGAATTTGTGAAGAGGATGAGGGAATTTCCATCATGAGAGCCTGGAAGAAATCCATTGCTAAGATGTTCCTAAACTACTGACCACTGATAACCTATTGCCTAAAGTAGACCATTTTAAAAGTTTATTGTTTTTATTTTTCTTAATTTACATAAGAGTCCTGAATTTGCATAATCTCCTCCCTCTCTCCCCCTTTAACTCCTCCTGTTTCCTTCCAATTTCTTTTAATTCACAACTTTCTCTTTAATGACTTTTGTTAAACACACAGTATAATAAGCTACTGAGCCCATTTAGTGTTGCTTGTAGGTCACGCCCCTGGATGACAGAACAAGACTTCAAGGTACAGGTGCAGGAATGGAGACAAAGCACTGTGTGTGAGTAGGGGCTTAGAGTGAGGACCTTCTTCAAGTACAGAGTACAGCTGAGTAGAACACTTGTCACATTGCCTGTGCCCAACATAAACAGTGACCACGTGGCTACCATCGATGGAGTACTTAGCTTGTCACAGAAGCAGGGAGAACTATGATCAGGGGACTTCCACTCATCCATGCTTTGTTTTGGCTCAAGATAGCATAGAGACCTATGACGCATGTATGTCAACGCTATCAGTAAGTGCATTGCTTATTTGAGTCAAGCTTCCATTTCTAGTCAAGACTCTCTAAATAAAAAGCATTTAATATTGTTACAAATGTCTAACACATTCAGCACCAGTAATCACACATTTGAAGTTCTGTTGTCTTCCCTTAGCAGTGGACAAGTAGGCTATTGACTTTCATAGGCAGATATTTCTAGAAACTAGTCAGGGGGCAGGAAATCACTATCATTCTCCTCAGAAACTTCCCTTTGTCTGTACATCACTTACTGTTACCAACCAACTTTCATGACTCATGAAACTACTGTCAGAAATGCAATTGTGTTGAATCAATTTGTGGCATGGAAGTGTTTTCTTATATTTAATAATGTACCAGTACATTTTTTATCCAAATCCATTATTCATTTATTTTACAGGTATTTTTTGAACATTATTTGTGTGTGTGTGTGTGTGTGTAAGAGAGAGAAAGTATATTTTAGAAGATCATATATAACATCAATATTTTATTTATAAAATGATAATTTACTTATGAAATAAAACTTAGATAATTATGTATAATTAATCATCTTTACCACCCAAATATTTATTTAGTAACATAAAAACTATCTTATTCTAGTCAAAAATTAAGTCTAATACTACTTGATCACTGAAAGCAAAAGATACTAAAAAACAGTCAAAGTAAACAGAAGGCTTATTTTATGGCATATTTCATTGTTCTCTTCTTTTTAGAGATTGACAAAAAACAAGTTTTTTATAAACATATTTGATAAAATATTCCTATCCTGAGATATACAATTCTGGTAAAAGAATGAAAACTGGATCAAGTTATATCTTGGTGAGAAAAAAAAATCTTTGCCCATTCTTCAAACTTGCATTATAAGAATTATCCTAGAAGATCAAGATAGGTATCCACTTTGGATCTAGCAGATGATATATAGAAAAATGTAAGTAATCGGAGTTCATAGATGTTGGGAAAGAGAGCCTGCCATGATAATACATCCATTACTGTGAAATAAGTCATTTCACAAACAAAATGAGGAGTTCTTCTACAAGCTCGAGAAAACTTGGTTTTGAGATATTTTCTCCTTATATAAAAAGTACGTCATTTGAAGTTTTTCTAGATTTGGGGATAAGATATATAGCTTACTTAGGTCCTGTCTAAGTGTCACTTGTATTTTTATTTCATATATCGATTCTTAGTGGTTTCAAAATTTCCACCCCCAACTCTAAAGTGTCTTCTACTGTATTTCAGTTACACACACACACACACACACACACACACACACACACACACACATACCTCTAAGCTTCCCATTTCTTATCTGTAATTCTGTAGTATTGGTGACATTTACAATATCTTTGCAAAGGGGCTTTATAAGATTCTCTATGTAAAGCACATTGTCTGGAATATGGTAAGATTTCATTAAATCTCAGCTATTAATATTACTACTACTACTGAGATTAAGCTCAAACGTGATAGTCTTAGAAGTTAGCGTATGTATTGCTTAAAATAGGCTTGGGTTTAGTTCTTTCCTATAGCACACTGTGAAGCTAGACTCTCAGGACATAAAATTGGGCACTATGGCAGGGATATGTGTTGTCCATAGACTCCGCATGGCTTCCTGAAATCTGAGACTGTTTTCCACTGTGATAAATTGTCATGTGACTCTGGATTCCTGAAGCTTAAGCTTATTTCAAATTAGACAACCAAAAAGTTGTAGAGAAGAACCAAGCTTCAACTAAGATCAGTGTAGAGAATCCTAAATATCTTGGGGGGAAAACTGTATGCCATAACTCAAATACCTCCCATGCCGTACTGAATAAAAGGGGATAATCTCCATCACCAAGATGTTCAGAAGTACCATGCAGCTCTTCATAAATGTTAGCAAATGTTACATGGAATTTCTAATTAAAACCTCATGACAGCTGTAAATGGTGGATGTTTAATTTCTCCCATTTTATGAAGGACAAAATTTGAGTCATTAGAAGTATTAAATAATTTTCTCATGATTGCCATAACCTAGTGTGTTGGCTCTTAAAGCCATCTGATAAGGAATAAATTTTGTCTTGAAGTTCTTTCACTGGTTTAAGTTAGGTGATTTACCTTGGAAAGTCAGTCTTAGCTTTATTCTCATGAAACCAGCAGGTAGTAGGCCAGACTACGGCTTTACACCTAGGCCTCTTGGCATCACACAGTTCTGAACCACTGAGTGTAGCTCCTCATTTTGTTCTACAACATGGTATTACACAGTCCAGTTTATTTATTCTGAGTGTTTAAAAATTTATACTTACAAATTTTTATATATATAGTATATATATATATACATATATATATATATATATAAACTTATCTATCCATACATTTATACAGTGCATTTGACCAAATCCACCTCTATTCCTCCTCTATAAGCCCCATCACTATTCTTACCCAAGTCCATAAAATCCCAACATCACTCAGCGCTAGCAATGTGTGCATGGATATAGGTCTGTCTAGTGGGACCTGGATAGCCATTCAGAGACCACATCCATGAAAAAACTTGACACTCCCTTCCAAAGAGCCATCGGTTACCAAGACTTATTCACAAGTGAATGTACATATGCACACACATTTAAAAAATACAATTATAAAAGATATTTAAAGCAGCAGAACATGAAAATCAACACTTAAGAAGGACTATTGTTTATAACAATAAAAATCTACTTGCAAAAGGAATTCAGGAAACAGTTTTGTTGACAATACATGAAAAAGAATAAAGTATTTAGGAATAATTTAACTAAGCGGGTGAAAAACATGTGATTTATCTCTCTATTCTTTACTAGTCCTTTTGTTCTATCAAGGTCTGTCTATTTTGTGTCAGTCTTGGCTCCTGGGCCTTTCATGTTCACCACCCCTTGTTGTCTCTGTGTTGTATAGAAAATTTCTCCAAGGGGAAAAATTAATATCAAACAAAACAAATAAACAAACAAACAATAACAACAACAACCACCCAAACATTCCGTCTTGGAGGGAAGGTCCAAGGTCCCCATTATTGGGGAATATTAGTTGAAGATGTTAGTTACATTTGTTTGTGCTGTGGAACATTTGTTTAATGATGCAAAGACGCGTTGCATTCCTTTATGTTGCATTTGTTTAACTCTGTGAAGCTGTGTTACTGTGCCTGTCTAAAACATTTGATTGGTCTAATAAAGAGCTGAACGGCCAATAGCAAGGCAGGAGAGGGAGAGGCAGGGTTGCCAGGCAGAGAACAAAAAATAGGAGGAGAAAAAGAGAAGATCAAGGATGGAGAAAAGAGGACGGAGAGAAGGGATCTAGGGGCCATCCACCCGGCTACACAGCAAGTCATGGAGTAAAAAGTAAAGAATGGTATGAGGAAAGGTAAAAGCTCAGAGGCAAAAGATAGACGAGATAATTTAGTTAAGAAAAGCTGGCTAGAAATAAGCCATGCTATGGTCTGGCATTCATAAGTAAGAATAAGCCTCTGTGTACTTATTTGGGAGTTGGGTGGTGGGCCCCCCAAAGAGTAAAAAGTAAAAACAATCAACTGCAAGGTCCCTAAGACAAAAGATGTTCCAAGGGAGCTGGAACATTCCATCCTGCAGGGAAGCTCTTTAAGTTCAGGGAGAAAATAAGTAAAAGGCTTCAGGCACTTCTTGCTGCTGACCAGATTCACTAGGTCCCTCCCTTCCCAAGGGTGTATAAGCAAAAAGGATGCTCAGACCAGCCACAATGCCTGACAGAAGCAGAGAGCCGCTGCGTCCCTAGAAAAGGCTCAGAACAGGTGAGATGACTCAGACAGGGAAGGACATTCACCATCTGTTGAGCTGCTTGCTTGCAGGTGGTCTCCAGCTTTCATGAACTGTCACTCATTCTGGGGTGAGCTTTTGGTGGTGTGCCTGTCTCTAAGTCATTTCTCTTCCTGTGTTAACTCCTCACCTATACTCTTTCGAGTAACCCCAATAAACTCATGGATTCACTTCATGTGGAATTTCGATGGCATTCATACTTTGGTCTGTTGTGAGCTCCCTGTCTAATGTGAATAGATGTTTGTTCACTTCTCCCTAATCAGTGTCACTCTCTTGTCCCTCCTAACACACTTCCCTCCCTCCACTACTCTCTGGAGCTCTTCGGACATCTTTCTGCTGCTTGGACCAGAGCACAGCGGCTGCCACCTCTCCTTCTGCTATGACCACTCCGCTGACACTTCTGCAGTCTCTCACGTCACCAGCTCTTCCTGTTTCACTAATGATAAAGGTCTTAAAAGGAAGAAGAAGAAAAGAGAGAGAAGTCTTTTAATGAGGCCAGTGTTGCCATACCAGGGGACAGCGTGTGTGGGAGGGCTTCCCATGACTGATTCAAACAGTAAGCAGAACCGCCTGATGTTGTAGCCAAGAGGGTTATTTGGCAAGATGGGTCGCACTACTCATTGCAAAACATACAAATGAAGGGTTGTGATCTGCCTGATGCTGGTCCATCAGGGAACTCTTGCCTCTCTGACAAGGGCGCAGATGGCTGCAGGATCAGCTAGACTTCACTGAAGGTGGTCCTGTGCAGGCTTCTGCTTTCCAAGGCCCAAGCAGGTTGTGTGGAGTGTCCTTGATAAAAGCACATCTTCTGCTATGGCCACAGAAGGACTCTGAACAGAGAATGTCACATCTCCTTTAAATCAAGGGAAAAGAAAAGTCACTCACATTTTGCTGAAATGATACCAACTAAGAATGCAATGCAGTGACTATGTTGTTTTTGTTGTGCTCTTTCAAAATAAGAGGCATCAAAGAATGTTAAAGGGAAAAAATTTAGCTTTACAAAATTCAGGTTTTGGGCATGGAGGATATAGCTCAATAGTCAAGCATGTACCTCCTAGGGTCAGGGTTCAGTCTCTAGTAATGGGGAAAAAAAGAATTTAAAATTAAGATTTATTTTAAAATGGTGTTTCTGTGATGAAACAAATAAAGACATGTGAAATCCAAGAAAGCAGAGGGAGATAATTAGGTGCCTATGGTAGACCACAGCCATCTTAAAGTTGTGTCCTCTATGGCGTAGGGCACAATGAGTCCTTCACAATTCTGTTAGCCCTTTAACTGTCCTTTGTTTCTGTACTTGAAATGATAGCATCTAATATTTTTATAATGTCAAAATTACACAGGGAGGCATCATAACTAGTGAAAATGATATAAAATATGTTTGTTGTAGGTATCCTATAATACTGACAGTACTTCCAATTATATAAATGTTTGATAAAAATCAACTCTAAAACAGTTATATCTTTTGTTAAGCAGTCTATGTATACTTATGATTTCATGTACATGTACCATGTAGAGGTTTGGGCACATGAGATAGCCACTTTACTAGGTATTTCACTTTAATTTATACTTGCAAAGCACTTGTGAGCATTAAATTTTCATCATGTATGTTCAAATTATCAGATATACCAAGGTTATATAAGAACTAGGGAAGTGTCTTTTTATGAATTCAGGTGACCCAATTACTTAGAAATATAAATTTATGAAATGTAAATGAAACCAAATATTGTCCAAAGGCAATTAGGGGATTGGTAAAACTTGCTAGATTTTAATAGAATTATATGGAATGCAATTCAAATAACGACTTCTTAAAAGAGAAGACAGGTTCTTATATTTGTAACTGTAATGAAATAAAAACTTTTTAAAAAGTAAAACTAAAAGTCAATTGATTTCTCTGCATACATAAACCACCCAAGATGTTACCCTCAAAATTCTTACTCTGGGTGTATGTAACAAAAGCAACCTACTGCAAAAAGTGAATTTTTTAATTTTCTAGTAAAATGCATATGCTAACATTGGGTGTTATAAAGATTAGTATTATCTACTTGATAGGATGTGAAAATCTCATAGGAGACAAACTTCTAGGCACATCTGTGAGAGATTTTTTCAGCTTTTGGACATGCCTATGAAGGATTCTGTCAATTTGCTAATTGATGGGAAGACCCATCATAAGAGTAGGCAACATGACTTCTTGAAATTGGGACTTGAACTGCATAAAAAGAAGGAAGCTAGTTAAGCAAAAGCCTTCACCTTGCTGTGCTTTCTAACTGCATATAACACAATGAGCCCAAGTCAGTAATTCCTGCTGTGGGATGGTCTGTATGTCAAATCTGTTGCTCAATAAATAAAACACTGATGGCCAGGCAGGAAGTATAGGCGGGACTAACAGAGAAGAGAATTAAGGGAACAGGAAGGGGAAGGGAGTCACTGCCAGCTGCCGCCAGGACAAGAAACATGTAAAAATGCCGGTAAGCCACGAGCCACGTGGCAAGGTATAGATTTGTAAAAATAGATTAATTTAAGCTATAAGAATAGTTAGCAAGAAGCCTGCCACAGCCATACAGCTTGTAAACAATATAAGTCTCTGTGTTTACTTGGTTGGGTCTGAGTGGCTGTGGGACTGGCGGGTGACAGAGATTTGTCTTGACTGTGGGCAAGGCAAAAAAACTCTAGTTACAAATTCCTGCCTCATTGACTTCCTCAACAGGATAGATAGACTTGAACTAGGAGCCAGAATAGACCCCTTTTCCTATAAGTTGCCTTTGTCAGGATATTTCAAAAGCTGTTTTAATTTTATTACTTATTTATCTGTATGTGTGTGCCTCACATGCATGCGTGTGTGTGTGTGTGTGTGTGTGTGTGTGTGTGTGTGTGTGTACATATATACATGCATGTGAGTACCTAAGGAGGCCAAAAGATGGTGTTAGTCCCACTGGAGTTGGGTTTACAAGTGGTTGTGAACCATGTGGCTTCTTCAAATAGAACTCTGGTCCGAGAAAAACATGCATGCCTATGCCTACTACCTGGAACAGGGCAGCTGCTGTTTCAGCAGGCTAGCTGGCTAAGCTCCTCCTATACCAATACTCCCAACACTTTTGACCGCTGAGCCACATCTCCAGCCCCGGTTCAGATATTTTATCATTATGATAGAAAAGTTACTAAGATGTGTATATGTTCCAATTTATAGTCACTGTGCTTAGACGGTGTTGATTTTCACTTAAAAAGCTTCTGCATGGTGCTGAGCTGCACAAACTACTGCAAAAAAATTAAAATAAATAAAATAAAATAAAATAAAATAAAATAAAATAAAATAAAATAAAATAAAATAGGAAGCAGGTTGATTTGCCAGAAAAGCTTCATGTAACCCACAATGATTCAACATATAGACTACAGCCCACTCCTGAACCCCTCAAAAATAACCAGAAATACACTGAGCATCAAATACAGGTGAGTACAAAATGTAGTTCTGAAGTGTTTCCAAACTGCTAGATTTAAGAAAACCCAATAAATAACTATTCTGAGTGATTTCTCCTGGAAGTGTCCCACTGATGGAACCTAAGCTAGTTCTGGAAATTTAGAAAAGAATGGAGTGGACATGAAGCCCTGCTCCATCCATTAGCAACCTTTGGACTGGACAGAAGATAAATAGTAAAAAAATAAAATCAATGTATATCACAGAATGATAGATCAATCCACGAGGCAGAGGGAACACACTGTAAAAATTGCTAATCTAGTCTAGGATGCAGGAAAGAACCTGAAGTTTAAAGAAGATAGGAAAGCTTATGCTGTATGTTTATTTTATATAAAGGAAAAAAATCAAACTATGACTTTTCAAATAATCCTGTTTGCTTTGGATGTGAGAGAGGAAAGGGAAACAGGCCAGAAGTCAGGTCATCCTCAGGCACCATGCCAGGAAAGTAGTTCATGTGTTTGGATTGCTGGACTGACAAACTCCACGTTTTAGATTGCAGGAAGAGTTGTGGCTGCTCGCGTAGTATAACTCAGCAGCTCAAACATTAGGATATTGGGAAGCAGGAGAAGGAACTGGAGTTTACAACCCGTTTCCCTTTGTTTAGAGACTCGGAGGCCCCACCCCCTTTTAAGATTTTTTTTTATTTATGAATGCAGTGCTCTGTCTGTATGTATGTTTCCACTCCAGAAGAGGGCACCAGATCTCATTACAGATGGTTGTGAGCCACAATGTGGTTGCTGGGAATTGAACTCAGGACCTCTGGAAGAGTAGCCAGTGCTCTTAACCTCAGACCTACCTCTCCAGCCCCTGGAGGCCCCTTATTAAGTAATGATCCAAACAGCACCATTTATATCCTCAAAACTGTTCTCTAATAAAAAAGGATGGACAGGGAGGGAGAACATTCAGCATCTTAGCTTGACTACAGCATATTAAAACTGACAAGATCATGAGACATCCAAGAGCACCTTTTCAAGGTAAACAGCACCATTCATACTCATTAGATCTAAGACACAACAACTAATTTAGTAATAATTCCTAAGACTCAAAATTGCAACTAATTTGTGAGTCATGTACTGAGTACACATATTTTTAAAAACTGCTCTTTAATTTTAATTTTAAATTTTTGATTGTGAACAAATTTAATTTTCCTGTATTTATTGAAAAGGCTATATATAATTTTAAGACTTTTCTTTAAATGGGACATTTCTCTGTCAATAGTGAAATCACCATTTCTTTCTACTTAAGTGAGAAATGGTTTATAATATACATAAATGTTGACATTCTCTAAAATGTCCAAATCAATGTTTCAGTTGTTCATATAAGTATTTTCCAAGTTGTTCTGTATAAGTATTAAGAGACATCCAATGTGTATACCCTGAACTGGCCATCCTCTGTGATTGGATTGGTGACTACCCCATTTGTCACCAGAGAACCTTCATCCAGTGACTGATGATTCAGAGACCCATGCCCAAACATTGGGCCAACCTCATGGAGTCCTACTGAGGAAAGGGAGGAGGTTTTATGTAGGAGCCAGATGGGTCAGGGACATTGCAGGAAAACCCACAGAAATGACTAGCCTGGCTCATGGGAGCTGACCGAGTCTGAACTAACAACCAGGAAGCCTGCATGGGACAGACCTAGGCCCTCTGCATATATGAGATAGTTGTGTAGGTTGGTTTGTATGTGGGACTCCTGGCAATGGGAGTAGGAGGTGTCCCTGGAGCTTTGGCTGGATCTTGGGAACCTCATGCTGGGTAAGAGAGGTTCTTGGTCTTTGCAGCTTGACAGGCCATGTTTTGCTGATGCACAGGGGAGGCCTGCCCCTTTCTAAGAAAATACAGAGGAGGAGTGGAGTGGAAGGGGGAACAGAAGGGAGGGGAGGGAGAGAGAGGAGAGGAGGGAGGGAGGCTGTGGTTGGGATATAAAATAAATTAATTAATTAAAAATTTAAAATATTAATTAAAAAAGAGGCATCTAATGCTTCTCTCTCCTTAGGTCACTCAATCATTTTTACCTGTGTACAACTTACTGAACTAAACCCAGCTGATTCATATATAATTTTACATGCTGAATACTGAATTGCACTACCTTGAATGCAATTGTACTGGACAAAGTTCAGTTGAATTGAGGATGTGTTGAGTTAGCTTGGCTTGCAGTGAATTGAGTTTAATTGAGCTAAGTTTCAATAAAATTGACAGAATCAAATAGAGTGAGAAAGATAGGTGCCAGTCCTGGTGAGGAACTCTGTTTTCTTCCTTCCTTCCTTTATCCCAAGGATCTGGGAATTGTTGTAGTATAAAGCATAAATTCAACAAATTTGTGAAATATAAGCAAAAAGTAAAATGGCCGTGCTTTACAATCAACTTATATTTACTTTTAGTTACCATTTTTAGTCCTGTGTACCTGGGCATTGTACTGTTTGGTAGGGGGACAGATGACGAGGAAGAGAGATCCTGTTGACAACTAATCACACTTCATTGTTGGACATAAACCAGCAAATAGGCACGTGAACTACAGAGCAGAATGGAATCACTACTGATTTTGTAGCCATGAGAGCTACTCACACCGTGTGCCGTGAGAACAACACATGCTGAAATTGTGTGATAGCGTAGCCTAGCCAGTGATGGCAATGATAACCAAGTCCTGCCGGCCTTACCCACATGGTTGTATCCTATGAGAGGTCACCGACTTGCACAAGAATAAACAGTAATTCTCTCTGTTTCGTTACCCAACTGCCTGCCTTCTGTGATCTGTCTCCTGAAATCCCCAAAAGCATTTTCTCATTCAGTTTATCCTGTGGCTCAGACTCAAATCACTAAGGGTGCTGACTGAAAGCTTACTTCAAGTGGTGTAAAAACCTGATTGCACATTGGTTTTGAAATATCCATCTAACTGCAAAGTGATGACGGGTTCAGACAAAGACACGAGACCATCTCTGACCCTCTAATACTCTTTTCTAAAGACATGACACTGATGACACTGTTGGTTTGACTCATGTCTTTGCTTTCTCCTATGTTTCTAGTTTCTAACTGCTGCTGGATCTCCCCTCCACAAGCCACACTCTACAGATTCATTCTCAAGGACCTATTGGAAATTACTTAATGTTCCTTCTCTATACTCACTCCTAAACACTCATTCTCCTGGCTCCAAGTACCATCTAATGGTATTGGTGTCTCGGAATCTGACCTCTTTCATACCTTTCTGCTCAGTTATATGGTTTGAGGACATGTCAAATGTCTCCCAAGCAGTTCAAGGTATTCCAGGGCAAAATGTTGACTTACATTGTTCTTGAATTATGTTCCTTCCTGTGCCCTTCCCATTGCATGAAATGTCATTCATAGATGTCTCATTCCTCAAACCTCAAACCTGGGAAGTTGCTCTTGACCTTGCCTTTTGGTCAACCTTCATTTATCTCTCCCAGTTCCCAACTGGAGAGAAGGCTTTCATTGTGAGGTCTGAGAATTCTTATGCCGGGGGAACCAGTCAGAAAAGGAGATGCCCTGGTCTTGCTGTCTAACTCTGGCTCCCCTCAAACTGTGTAATCAAGATCCCATCTGTGACAGTCAAAACTTAACATTGCTAGCACATTCTCCGGTAATTCTTGCAGTAAGGAACAAACCACTTGATGAAAGACACCTTCAAATCACACCTTAAAAGAGTCCCGCATTTACCTCCATAGCTCACTGTCTATGATCCTTTCACTGGACAAATGAAATGTTTTCTTAAATGGGCTCTCTCAAGTTACCCCTTAACCAGGCTCCTTAAATGTTTTCCAGCAAAGGGCCAGATAGTTTATATTTTAGGGTTACTGGGTGAAGTGCCCCTAATTGCAACTATCCACTACTATCATGATGGTACAAAAGCAGCCATAGAAGGCACACAAACAGATGTAGGTGACTAGGTTTTCGTCAAAATTTATTTGCAAAAAGAAGCAGATGGCTCATTTCCCACATAATTACGAATGACCTTTGAAAGCTGATTTAGTGGCTTCCTGTTTTTCCTAAGAACAGCACCCAAATTTTTGATCATAATTTGTAAAGTCCTGTATTATGTGACCCTCTGCTTCTTTCCAGTTATACCTGCCTGTGTAGTTTACACCCCTGCCCATGTAATAACCCAGACACACTGGTCCATTTAGCTTCTGAAACACATCATCCTTTTTCCAAGATTAGTTTTCCCCTATTAGGACCTGTTTAGTATGTCCTTCGCCCTGTTTTTGCATAGACATTGAGAGCATGAACAAAGGAATTAGCCTGGATTCTAAAAATAGATCCACCAGTTACCTCTCTGTGTCTCTCTCTCTCTTCATCTTACAAACGATGAGAATAGTATTTCCTATCTCATCAGGTTCTTAGGAGGCTTACATGTAAGATTCTTAAAAACCTATTAAAGATGTAAGAGTATTAGGTAATATATGCTCACACTTATGAAACATGTGCACAAAGAAAGTATTTGAAACTGGGACCATTCTTTAAAAAAAATTTTTTTAAGTTCCATGGTACAAGCAGAAATCCACGATATCTCAAGTACACCAAACAGAAAACTGAGATTCTCAAGAAGTATTTAATACGGATTTAAGTGTCTGCCTATTTTAGAAAACTAACTAAGTTTACAGTGGCTACATAGTGTACTTAGGAAGCCACCACCCCTTTCTACTGCAAACCCCTCCCCCGTGTGCCTTTTCTATTAGTTGGTCCAAAGAGGACACGGACAGTCTTCTAACTAAGCTTTAGGTTGCAGAACAATAAGCAACATGCAGAAGCCACGGCTAACTGCACCATTCTCAAGCTGTTCCAGGGCGGTGTTGTGTTTTTATGAGGATCCCTGTGCATTCATTGCTGCTAAGGAAAAATAGTGCTGGTTCAGAACATCTCCCTGTCCCCGGAGAGCAGATCCTCATCCCTCCAGCTCAGCATGCGGTCAATTGAAAGTAAATGGTAAATTCTCTGACTACCAATTCAATTAACTAGTGAGGCCTGGAATGCTGCAATTAACATTTAACAGTGAGGCAGGAAAACTGTTTACTGGGATCTACGTGGTGTCTGCTGTGTTAATTATTCAAGACTGGTTAGCAGTGACTTCGGATCCCCTGCTCTTGGCAGAGACACATACTTGAGGTCAGACAATGGGTCTAAAGAATGGCGGGGGAAACAATGGGTGGCATTAAGTTCCTCTGTGGGCTCTTTTGTCATCATGTTACTTTTTACAAGCTGCGTCTCTCCGTGTCATATAATAGTCATCAGAATGGGCTGAAAAACAGCCATTCTGGATGAGTTTCTGTCCTCACTATTGTATTCACAAGCCAGTATATCTGTTCTTAGTCAACAAGACACTTTTCACGTCCTTCTACTTTGTGGCCTGTGGTGGGGGAAACGGAAGCTTCTAGAAAGAAGCTCATTACATTGGCCCTTCTTAACCAGCTAATGGATTGACTAGGGCTTTAGTGGCTGTGGAGAGCTTACGATGTTGCAGGTCCAGAGCCTCCTTACAGTTTATCTTGGAGCATTTAACCCCTAATAGCCATCTATTGACTACCTCTTTAGGTGACCTAACATCCTTTGGAATGTACATAAAACCCACAAACTTACCCCAAACAAATAGTTAAGAAGGCCACGAGACAGCGTCTGTAGTCGGTGGAGATGCGGACACTTGGCGGTAACCACCCCTCTCCACTTGATGGACCCAACAATGTATCTGGAAAGTGCCCACATGTATGACTTCTCTTTATTTATTTTGTAACAACAACAAAAACGGCATGGAACATGGAGATCAAGGCTGCCTGAATGCTTCTTCCTGAGCCCATGTTTGGCTCCAGAATAAACTGTTTCTCATTCCCTTTGAGGTGAGAGTTATATTAGTGAGTTGACAGCAGCAGCAGCATTATGCCTAAACATCTGGTATGAATTTCCTTTTTCTTTACTTTATTCTCCCATATTTATTCTTATATAGGTCAAACTACCTGCCTTTGTTCATGTTCCGTCAGTTTTGATTGGCCACTAGGCAATATGTATAAACCAACAATAAAATATACATAATAAATATAATAAAATATATAAATATAAAATAACTGCTAACTAAATGCAAAAAAAAAAAAACAAAACCCTAATACTCTTTCCATTAGCCACAGATAACGGGTCCCAAGTCCATGTAGACTAGAGCTGAGCAGCGTCCTTGAACCTGGTCTAAGTCTGAGTTTTATGTCAGAGCAATGGCCTTGTCGAGGCTAGGCTAGGAGAAGGCTTCCTTGCAGCCTAATTTCTTTGTTTTTTTCCCCAAGCTAACATCTGTCCTGTGATCCAGTTGACAGCCACATAAGATTGTAGAACACACACACACACACACACACACACACACACACACACAAAATTTAAGCATTTTAATCTAGTGAATTTCTTCATGGTTAATTGTTTATATTGACTCCTGTAAATTTTCCAGGTTTAACTTTGACCCCTGGCCTCTGAGAGGTCAGTATTATGGTAGAAGGTAGAAGCTTCCTTTTAAGAAGAGCCTGTGATCTTTGGAAAGCTATACAAAATGGTCTCAAAACCATACCAGTATTAGGTTTCCTAGCCTGGGAATGGGGATCTGGATGTTCTGTCATCAATAGCTTCAGAATAATAGAATATTCCAGAAGGATATAAGTAAAAATATGGAAATTGTACGTGCTTTGGGCCCAAGCCACTGAGACCAAGGGGGGAAATGGGAGCAGCCGGGGACACAGGACTGAGACAGACTGGATTAAAACCTAACTAAGCACAGGAGCTTTTCTCCTGAAGGATTGTTTTGTAGCAAGCATTGACCATGAGTCAGTGGTTAACTTTCCTCTGACTTTTGAGATTAACGATCTCAAGGTACATGCACAGGGACGCAAGTAGCTTTTAGATTCTTCTATTCAAAAGAACCAAATACGCTTTAGAAGTGTTTATTTTTCTGATTGTAAAGTGAAATCCATTATAGAAAATCACACAAAGACAAAACATTATTTCATCCACTGTGGAGAATTAATATTGTCCACTACGATAGCATTTGCTCTGGCTAATAGTTACTTAACTACACACACACACACACACACACACGCACACGCACACGCACACGCACACGCACACGCACGCGCATGCGCACGCACGCACGCACGCACGCACGCACGCATACTTATACATACACACAATTGTTCGATGTGTGTATTCTCTATGTATATTTAATAGCCTTTACAGAATTAATAACATTTTTCTTATACAATTTTATGCTACGTGTTATAGCAATTTAATTTCCAGTTAGAATTCTCATTAACTGTGGGACTTCAGCAAGTTACTTAACCTCCTCAATATTTTATTTGAGTTTTATATTTTCAACCATGAAATTAAAGACCTAGCTGAGGTTTTATTAATATTTCGCTACATTCCATAATATTTATTAGTATGTTCCTTTCTCATTTACTTTACAATTCTTCCTTTATACAGTAAGTTCTTATATCTATATCAAAATTTGCCTTTATTAATCAATTTAGTTAATATATATTTATATTGAATCATTAGTGAATATCTAATATGGAAAATGCTCACCTTTTATTATTTTCAAAATATCACTGAGTTTTCTCATTCACTGATTACTCTAGCAGAATATTAAGTACATTCCATGTGCTGACCTATCAGTCTAGATAGTTTGTATTTTTATAGTATCAATGGAAATTTCATGAATGGATAATATTTTGTCTTAGTCTCACAATAGACAGTTTCAGGGATGTTCAGTATAATGCATTTCTTCTTTTCAAAAACCAGTTCAGACAGATAAAATTATAGCCATTTTTAAGTGAGGAAACTGAAGTTCAGAGAGATAAGTAACACGTTCAAGGTCATAAAAGTAACGCATAGCAGAAGTATAATTCAAATTTATCCACGTATATTTGTATGCATATATTTACTTCAAGGACATTAGTCTTATAATGTTTCACACTGTCCATTTCAAATGGGAAAAATCAATAATTCCCTTGTTTATACACATTATAATACATATTTTAAGAAAGGAAAGAATGTTGAATGTAAAAAAAAGAAAATGTAATTGAAGAAAGAACTAACTGGAAGAAAAGCACGCATCAATGGTGTTCTGAATTCAGTGCTGCAGACAAGTGACCATGAGGCATGTCGGACAGAGCAAGCATGTATACAGGTCTACCCAGGTGTTTCCATGCCGTAGTTCCTACATAATATTCAATGGACCTTGCATTTTATTGTCCAGTTCTATTTAAATATACTCGATTTTATTTGAGAATAAATAAACATAGTGAGAACTAGAAAATGATGATAATTAAAACTATTCAGTGTTGAGCAAGGTGGCTCACATCTGTAATCCCAGCCCAAGAGGAGGAGATGGAAAGAACACCATGTCTCAGCCTAACGTGGACT